CCCATGAAGGGACTGAAGGATCACTCAAGTTATGGACCGTGCGAAAATTCACTAAGAACGTCTCCTCCGTGCTTCCACAAATGTCAGCACATCCTGTCTTAATGAAATCACTTGTACAGACCGACTAAAAACAGTGACACTTGAAAAATCTTCGCGACACTTTTACCATGGAGAGAAACTGCTGGAATCTCGGACGAAAAAGTAAATCAAAGTAAGAAAGAAAGGAAGGCAAGGGCTAATGAGCTATCTCTATCCTAAGATTGCGAGAGCGCTGATCAAATAAATATGCGGAGCTCGGAACCACTAACATCATTCAGATTCTGTAATTTCAAGATTTATTGTTTAAAAAAACCATCATGCATGTTCAAAGAAGCATCCCTTGACCTTTTTGGACAACAAAATCAATTATACGACGTTTCACGCACTCAAGTAAGGGGATTGAGTACTTCGATAGAAATGCTTGGAGTTCTCCTTTGACTGTTTTACAACGATTAATTCGTACTATAAGGGTATCGAAATAAGTCTGGCATGTAATGGAAAGTGAATACTTTAACTGTGCTTTCAAAACTGGCCTAGCTTTGTAGAAGCTCATCGCCGAAGAAAGCTGTGGTCTTTCATTATGAAAACAAGTATGAAAGCATGCGAGCTTCACTGTCATTGCCATTCCTTGACAAGTTACAAAAGATACAATTGAAGAGATTCAGCGTCTCCAAAAAGGTGTGCAACTGCAATGCCTGACCCTTTCCATAAATGATATGCTGCAGGCGGGAGATTGCTTAATTGCCGTTGGCTAATGTTTGTTCCTGAAATCCTTCTTATTCTTAACAATGCCTATTCTCTCAGCTCTTTTTCGAAACAATTTAATAAGAGTGCAGGTTATCAGCCAACGAGTGGAAGGTGCAATGCGTTCGACTTCCACACACAGTCTAGATGGCACGGTGTCCTAGCGATCCATGTGTTATTGAAGCCATGTCAAAAGAGATAGTACCAAAGCACCCTACTTGATAGGGGAGTCGTACCGACTTTCCAGAGACACATAGCTCATGCTGACCTACGATCGTCGAGATGTTCTTTCTTTAATCTACGAAGAAAAAAGATCTCGCCTCGCCCATTAGATTCAGGTCCTGGAATCTCTGCAATGACATTCTGGTCAGCCGGAACCATCGACGTGACGTGACGACGTATTGGATTTGGCAACCTAGCTCTTCGATTAGAATATTTTTGTACAGTCAAGAAGGGTTGCCTTTACATATTAAAAGTTGTCGAAAAAAGAGTGCATTTGCAAGGAATATTAACTAGAACGAGCATTGACTTCACTTTTTGATCTCAATATCGAGACACAGACCAGTTCCCTATGAGACCCAGACGTACTTATGTTTTTTGAATTGGTTCGTGTCGAAGGCATCATGTCGCGCGTTTTGCCACTCATTCGTATTCATTGCCAATTACTTTAGCTTTGAATGTCCTCACTTTGTAGGTGACATTGGTGCGAAGTGCGAATAGGAATATTCTCGTAGACTGTGGTGATCCGTGGAATGGTGAAGAAATTCTTCGGCAGCTTTCATTGTTCGGATTAGAAAAGAACGATGTGAGTGATCAACTTTCTTTGAACCCCCAAGACCTGTGATAGATGATGGTAGGACGAGCGGAACCTCATGGAAGATACGATACCATAAGGTAGAAGATACGAGTGTTAGGAATGAGGTGCACTCCAGAAGCGTCACCCGTTGGGTAGGACACAATCCTCTACGTACCTTCCTTTATAGTCTCGTTTAGGATTTATCGTGACCACTTCCTTTAGGAAAAAGGCCAAATATCACACATGGTTTTTATCAGTCTTCTTTTGGGATTCCCCACACATTCACTCCCATTCAAAATCGTCGTGGTATTTCGAATGGTATTTGGCCTGTAGAATGAATTGCGGGGGCCTGCCGATGTACAGTCAGTAGTTTCAGCCTACCAGACAACCTGTTAAGAAGTAACCGTTCCGAAAGGATGGAAGAACTTAATTGTTCAGAAAGGCGTGCGAGAGAACATTTGATTCCCGGTCGTATGAGCAGCGCAACTTATCAGTGCACCAGTTCCCCTGTTAGCACAGTAAAACGTGGATATTCCCAAAGCAAAACGAGGTGAATGGAAGGCTTTACTACATCTCCTTTTGAGGGTAGTGACCTCATGCAACGTGAGCCATGATTCCTATCAACAAAAAACAAAAAGATGGTGGAGGGCTATCACGCATTCTTTCTCGCGCGAAATTTTGCATTAGTTGAACGAAAATTCAAAGATCATGTTCCCTCGCAGGATAGGTACCATATCATCGTTCAGTCAGTGGCCAATGCACACCTTTTCTTTGAGAAGAAAATTGTGACTTACTAGTGATCTTCTTTTTGTCCGGTTTATCTCTATGTTGAGGGTTTCGTATGAATTCAGATCTAGCTCTGTTGTTTTAGATTCATGTTGTTGTCATCACCCACGGTCACATTGACCATTGTGGGAATTTGTCAATGTTCCAGAATGCTACGGTCTATATGGACAGCGATGTCGCTTCTACAGGAAGATACACTACGTTATCTGAGGTTTCTTACGTAAACATTGAAAACAGAACACAGAAACTTGAAGTGCGTATAGTAGAGAAGGTACAAGACATATTTTTCCTTCATCCGCGAAAGCATTGGTAGCCAGTCTGTTGTCTCAGGCAGGTGCCAGGTGACAGAGAGGTGCGACCAATCGCTAGCGAAACACGTGGATCGCCAGCGATTTGAAGGACTTAGTGTTCCGAGTCCTTGTCGAGCTCGGGAGGGTCGTAAAGGAGCTGTTGCCGTTTCGGCCATAATGTTACAGAGATAGATCAGTGGGCAATCGAATGAGATGGTGTAGCGTTTGATAACAGTCGGTGGAATTTTGGATGTTCACAAATTAAAGGGTAGTGTATTGACAAAACGT